AGCAAGCCGTCGTCGGAGAGCGCGAACCCCACCAGCACGTCCATGCCCTCCTTGATGTGGTCGAAGCTCGCGCGGAACTTCGCCACGCGCTTGGCGGCGTGGTCGATGGAGCCAGCACCCTTGTTCTGGCGCGCTGCGCGCGTCACGGCCTCTTGCTCGGTGATGTTCTGCGTCGCCGCCACGCAGTGCGAGCACGTGCACAGCTTGTATTGGCCTTGAGTACCCTTCCGCAGCTCGGGGCACTGTGGGTTGTATTCTGAAGCCTCGGCGTAGCGGCGCATTTCGCCACAGTTGAGCTTGTCCACGTACTCCACCATCATGATCTTCCAGTCATCCAGCGCTGCGCACTTCCGACACCAGCCCAGGCGCTGCGGCGGGACACAGTACGCACCCATGCAGTGGACGTAGCCCGCCTTGACGTAGTCCGCATCCGTCATCATCTCAGCGTCCTCGAGCTTGGCAGCCGTGCCGCCGCTCGGCGGGGGGGCTTGGCCGTAGGCAGCCTTGTTGCTGCGACGGCGGTGGCGTTTGCCGCCGTGCCCGCTGAGGGCACCCGTGGTCGCTGCACTCGGGGCCTCGCTGGCTGTTTCATCGTCCATGGAGCGGCCGCCGTCGATGTCGCTGCGCGCGCCTCGCCCACCGTGGCCGCTCACAGCCTGCTCCCGCAGCTGGAGGTTGTGGAGCGCGAGGGTGATCGCGTCCAACCCGCGGCGCTGCTCCGCGGTGAAGTTGGAGTAGGTGGCCGCCGCTGCCAGGGCCGCCTTCGTCACTGGCACCACCGCCGACGTGGGCATCGCCGAGGGCTCAGCAGGCGTCTCGGCCGTCGCCGCGGGGCCACCGTCCGAGGCACCTTCAGAGGCAGCGGCGCTGGGGGCGGCCACCGTGCCGCTGCCTCCGTCGGCACCTTCGGCGGGCGTCGTCGGCCCCGTAGGCAGTGTCGGCGCCGTCCGAAAGGTCGCCGCCTCCGACATCACGTCGAACCCCTCGTCCGAGATGTCGCTGCTCTCCGACGCGCTCACTTGCTGGCCAGGGCGCGCGCGGTGCAGGCCCTGCTTTGGGAGTGGGCGTGTCGGCCGCGGTCGAACCGCTGGCCTTCGCGCGCGCCTCAGCCCTCGCCCTAGCCTTCGCCGCCAGCGCCTCGCGAAGGGGCACCGCATCGTGGCTGGGCGAGTCGGCGCGCGTCACTGCAGGCCACGGCGTCGGCGCGGGCTTCGAGAACTTGGGCGCCATCGCTTGGTCGGGGGGATGGCACGGGAGGTGCAGCTCAAGAGATCGTGCGAAGCGCTACTGCTACTGCTACTGCTCCTGCTGCTGCTGCTGCTGCTGCTGCTGCTGCTGCTACTGCTACTGCTACTGCTACTCCTATCCTTATTCCTTATTAGAATATACTCCTACTCCCCCCTCAGGCCGGCAGATAGCGGGCGCATCCGGGTGGTCCCATCCTAACCTGTAAAAAACAATACAAAATCAACATTTTTCTTATTTTTTCCTCTCGACATGGACGTCCTGTCGTCCACGGCGATAATCCATTGCAAAAAATACCACAAAGAGCACACGCGCGCGTTCATGTCAGAATCCTACCGAACACCGTGTGTTTGCAAGCATTTCAACATAAAAACATCAAAAACCCAATGCTTTTTCACAAAAATTGTACAAATTTCCCGCCCGGGCTCTCTTGCTGAAATCATAGGAAAACCATAGGAATCTTAAGAATTCGTCAAATCCAGCGATTTCACGTCATCGCGCGGTGCACTCGCGATGCTCTGTCATGCACCCAGGCCGCGAATCCTGTGCAAAAAATACCACAAAGAGCACACTCGCGCGTTCATGTCAGAATCCTACCGAACACCGTGTGTTTGCAAGCATTTCAACATAAAAACATCAAAAACCCAATGCTTTTTCACAAAAATGCTTTGGGGTGTCCTGTCAGACCGTCGGGCTTCCTCCGGCCACCTCTGGCTTCCTGCGGTGTACCGGGCCATTCTCGACTCGTCTGGCAATGCGTGCGCGGCATTCAACACGCGCTCGCCAGTTCCCGTCGGCAACCGCCATCGCGGCCGCATCAGCTGTACCAAACCGGCTGGCCGGTGTGACTTCGGCCCCCAGTTGTGCCAGCTTTGCTTCTTATGTTGTGGGAGGGCGGGTGGGACTGGGCATGCCATGCTTGGCTCGCTCGAGCTGGCTAGCTTGACTCCTACTCCTATCCTTATTCCTTATTAGAATATACTCCTACTCCCCCCTCAGGCCGGCCATTAGGGGCCGCATCCGGGGGGTCCCATCCTAACCTGTAAAAAACAATACAACATCAACATTTTTCTTATTTTTTCCTCTCGACATGGACGTCCTGTCGTCCACGGCGATAATCCAGTGCAAAAAATACCACAAAGAGCACACGCGCGCGTTCATGTCAGAATCCTACCGAACACCGTGTGTTTGCAAGCATTTCAACATAAAAAACATCAAAAACCCAATGCTTTTTCACAAAAGAACTACAAATTTCCTGCCCGGGCTCTCTTGCTGAAATCATAGGAAAACCATAGGAATCTTAAGAATTCTGTCAAATCCAGCGATTTCACGTCATCGCGCGGTGCACTCGCGATGCTCGCACGCCGAGTATCTCAGCGCGCGTGAGCGCCGCGCGCAGCTATCCGTCGATCGCAGAGCGCTCGGGTTGTGGCTCAGGCCGCCGAATCCTGTGCAAGGAGCCAGTGGAAGCCGGACGGCGGGCCTACAAGGCGGTGCGGGTCGTCGGGGACTGGGTGTTCCGACCGATCGCATGCTCAATCCTTTTAGAGTTCGTCGCCGTCATTGGCACCGTCGCATGGACGTCCTGTCGTCCACGTCGCAAAATGCAAGGCAGGAATGGGACGCGGCGCACACCCCGCGCCCGCCATCCAATCCGTCCCATTCTAATATGCAAAAGACAATACACAGTTTTGTTTTTCTTGTCAACATGGTCGTGCTGTCGTCACGTCGCAAAATGCGTGGCAGGAATGGGACGCGGCGCACACCCCGCGCGAAGGGGTGACATGGTACTACTACTACCACTACCACTACCAACACCACTACCACTGGTACTACTACTCCTGCCTCTTGGGGCCTCCTGGGCCCCCTTGGGGTGTCCTGTCAGACCGTCGGGCTTCCTCCGGCCACCTCTGGCTTCCTGCGGTGTACCGGGCCATTCTCGACTCGTCTGGCAATGCGTGCGCGGCATTCAACACGCGCTCGCCAGTTCCCGTCGGCAACCGCCATCGCGGCCGCATCAGCTGTACCAAACCGGCTGGCCGGTGTGACTTCGGCCCCCAGTTGTGCCAGCTTTGCTTCTTATGTTGTGGGAGGGCGGGTGGGACTGGGCATGCCATGCTTGACTCGCTCGAGCTGGCTAGCTTGACACTACTACTACTTACTCCTACTCCTATCCCTATTCCTTATTAGAATATACTCCTACTCTCCCCTCAGGCCGGCAGATAGGGGCCGCATCCGGGTGGTCCCATCCTAACCTGTAAAAAACAATACAAAATCAACATTTTTCTTATTTTTTCCTCTCGACATGGACGTCCTGTCGTCCACGGCGATAATCCATTGCAAAAAATACCACAAAGAGCACACGCGCGCGTTCATGTCAGAATCCTACCGAACACCGTGTGTTTGCAAGCATTTCAACATAAAAACATCAAAAACCCAATGCTTTTTTTTCACAAAAAATTGTACAAATTTCCCGCCCGGGCTCTCTTGCTGAAATCATAGGAAAACCATAGGAATCTTAAGAATTCGGTCAAATCCAGCGATTTCACGTCATCGCGCGGTGCACTCGCGATGCTCTGTCATGCACCCAGGCCGCGAATCCTGTGCAACAAATACCACAAAGAGCACACTCGCGCGTTCATGTCAGAATCCTACCGAACACCGTGTGTTTGCAAGCATTTCAACATAAAAACATCAAAAACCCAATGCTTTTTCACAAAAATGCTTTGGGGTGTCCTGTCAGACCGTCGGGCTTCCTCCGGCCACCTCTGGCTTCCTGCGGTGTACCGGGCCATTCTCGACTCGTCTGGCAATGCGTGCGCGGCATTCAACACGCGCTCGCCAGTTCCCGTCGGCAACCGCCATCGCGGCCGCATCAGCTGTACCAAACCGGCTGGCCGGTGTGACTTCGGCCCCCAGTTGTGCCAGCTTTGCTTCTTATGTTGTGGGAGGGCGGGTGGGACTGGGCATGCCATGCTTGACTCGCTCGAGCTGGCTAGCTTTACTCCTACTCCTACTCCTACTCCTACTCCTACTCCTACTACAACTCCTCCTCCTCCTCCTCCTCCTCCTCCTCCTTCTCCTCCTTCTCCTTCTCCTTCTCCTTCTCCTCCTTCTCTTCCTCCCTCTCATCCCTCCTCCTCCTCCTCCTTCTCCTCCTCCTCCTCCCCCTCCTCGTCCCCCTCACACCCCACCCCCCCCTCGTCCCGCAGGAGAGCCTCGAATCCTCGAGTCTAGGATCCTCAGGTCTACTTCGCGAGCGCACGATTCTCGGCCCTCGGTCCGGGTCTTCGAGCTGTAGATCCTCGAACCTCGGGCCTCGGGCTTCGACCTTTCGGCCTCGGCTCCTCGATCCTCGGACCCTCGAGCCCCAGATCCTCGGGCCTCGA